GCATAAATTGCCCCTAAAAGACCAAGTAGAATTTCTGGCAAGTAACGTTCCATAACTGGCAGGTTTTTGGGCTTGGCCTGGAAAACTGTTATCAATATCCAAAACATGGCTCCGAACCACAACATTTCCCTGATAGTTTAACATAAATTCTTCCAGATTCTGTATAAAGCCATTTTCTCTTAGAAAGTAGCTGATTATCAGCTGCTGACTATTAAGCTATGAGGTACTTAAACCATTTAAGATTTTGGTACAGCCAAGTCAAATTCAGCTTGCGTCCTGGAACCTTTTAACAAGCAGCAACATTACTTCTGAGCATCTTCTGTAACCATCTCCTCACATCTCGCTGACCTCGTATCCTGGCCCAGGGGTGCAGTTCCTGACTCCTAGGAAGCCCTAGCCCTTTTAAGAATCTATAAATTTCCTAAAATAGAACTAACCTTTATTTTGCTTCCGGCAGTAGTTGGGCGCCCTTTCTTGTCAGCTTGCAGATTTTCCGGAAATAAAGACTTTATGAAAGGCCTGGAAAAGGAGAAAGAGAATGAATTAGCAATCTGTAAGTACCTTGGGGTCTGAAAGCCTGCCTTTTTAGAGGATGGGGTGGAGGGCCGTCCCCAGGCACATAACCTTGGCTACAGAAAAGCCATCTGACTCACAGCACAGGCCATCAAGATGTGACTTGGGGAAATGAACGATGGACGAAAGACATGAAAGGAAAGAATTCTAAGATATAAGCAACTTGGAATCAAAGACTGCAAAATAAATTTTAAAACGTTGCTTTCCAACGTCCCTAGTCACAGGAATTGAGGTATATCTTGACAGTAGAACATAACGGAGGGAGGTCAGTAGGGGATTTCAGGTTTTCGTTTTCTTTTGTTTTTGAGACAGGGTCTCGCTCTGTTGCCCAGGCCGGACTGCAGGGGTTCAATCATGGCTCACTGCAGCCTCGACCTCCCAGGCTCAAGCCATCTTCCCACCTCAGCCTCCTGAGTGACTGGGACTATAGGCAGGTGCCACCACATCCAGCTAATTCTTGTATTTTCTATAGAGATGGGTTTTGCCATGTTTCCCAGGCTGGTCTCAAACAACTGGGCTCAAGAGGTGTTACTGCCTCAGCCTCTGGAAGTGTTGGGACTACAGGCGTGAGGCACTGCGCCTGGCCAGCATGTGTTTGTTAACACAAGCAAGCTAGACCAGAACTCAGGGAATTATATGAAATATCTGGATTCAGTGCAGATGCTGCTTTGCTCTAGAGCAGTTTCTGAGCCTGGGCACCACTGGTATCTGCGGCTGAATAATTCTTTGTTGGGGGCTAAGGAGGGGGCCTCTTCTACATATTGTGGAATATTTAGCAGCATCCATGGTCTCTGTTCACCAGATGCCAGTAGCACACTGTTCCCAGCTCTACACAGAAAACCCTGACAAACTGCTTTTGAGTATGAGCAATTTTAAGTGGAGCAGTAACAAATCACAAGCACTTTGCCTCCTGAATATACTTTCTTTCTTTTTTTTTTTTTTTTTGAGACAAAGTCTCACTCTATCGCCAGGCTGGAGTGCAGTGGCGTGATCTTGGCTCACTGCAACCTCTGCCTCCCAGGTGCAAGAGATTCTCCTGCCTCAACCTCCTGAGTAGCTGGGACTACAAGCGCACCATCACACACAGCTAATTTTTGTATTATTAGTAGAGACAGGGTTTCACCATGTTGGCCAGGATGGTCTCGATTTCTTGACCTCGTGATCCACCTGCCCTGGCCTCCCAAAGTGCTGTGATTACAGGCGTGAGCCACCGTGCCCGGCCTGTATATACTTTCATTAGTGGTGTTATTTGAGCTGCATGTGTTTTCACGTCTGCCTCACTAGCAATAGGACAGGGACAATGCCTTCCTCATCTTAGTGTCCCTGGTGTGTCTGAAGCATAGCATGGTACACAGTTGGTCCATAATATATATTTGCTGACTGGGTGAATGACGGGATCCACGTAAATTAGCAATCTGACATTCAAATTCAAACTCACTTCCTCCTCAATGACTTTTTGGGCATCTTGAATGTTCCAGGAAGTCTCCCCAGCAATCTACTTTTAACTTGACCAGACACGACTACAGATTTTGACATCAAATGTGTTTATAAAATAATAGGCCATGTCTATACGACAGCAGTTTATATGGAAGCAATAATAGCTCTTAAACTTGGCAGGAATTTTAATAAGTTTTTAAAAACAATCTCTGGAAGCAAGTCTGCACCTGACTGCCATAAAACCCACAAGCCAGGACTTGTGGCTTACCTAACCATCTCAGAGAAGAACCGATCGATTTTGTATGTTGTGAATAAAAAGAAATGCAAAATCTCAAAAATGGTGGTGTGACTGCAAAGAAGGGCAGAGATGGAGAGCAGAGGGTGAGGAGGGGCAAGGAGCGACAGAGAGAGAATTAAATGGAGCAGAACAGCTGTCCAGGGCCTGAAAAGGAAACTCTTGCTTTGCTTTCATTGCAGTCAGTCCTTTATTAGGAAATTATCAGGCTCGCTGCTGTTGATTAGAGGAACTGGCCTTGCTGTTGTGACAGCTTAAGTAATAGAGACCAGAAGGGCAGCTCTTACTTGAAATAAGCTCTAGAAATTGTTAGATCTGGCATGCATGGGCCTTGCCTTGCAAGCATGGACCTGCTCATGTAAATTACATCTTCTTATGTGTTATCCAGGATCTTGAGAACCTTTTCAGGGAAGAGGGGAGGAAGGCAGAGGTGGTCCTGACAGTTCTAGCAGCGTGCAAGGGGGATACCCCCACTGTTCTACCCCTATAGCTGAAACAGGGTCTTGGGAGTTAAAATGGATCTCTGAGTCACCCCTTCTTTAGTTGTCCCTCCCAGACTTCTCAAGCATTTCTTAAGTACTTCAGGGACTCTGGTTAATGTGGGTCTTGCTAAGCCATTAAGCATCTTTAAAAATTCAAAGACCATGAAGAAGAGTTCAAGGGCAAAATGTCATAGAACCAGACTGTTCCACTCTTAAATGGTCAGAAATGGCCATCCCAATCCAAAGCCAGTGGACTCACTTCTCCCTGATAATAGTATTGAAAGGTAGAAAGTCTGATGCCCTCAAGGACCTGTAGATGGCACTTGGAATTTGGGTGCATGAAGTGTTAGGGACATAAAAGGGACAGACTGATATAGAGAAAAGAAAGCTATTTTGAGAAACCAAATAGATCAATAATAATCCAGACCCAATAGCACGAAGGAACAAAATCCTAACCACTAAACATCACAGGTGTTTTGTTTTGTTTTTGTTTTTTCTTTATTAGAGACACGGTATTCCTATGTTGCCTGGCTGGAGGGCAGTGGCTATTCATAGGAGTGATCATAGCTCACTGCAGCCTCAAACTCCTAGGATCAAGTGATCCTCCTGCCTCAGCCTCCCGAGTCGCTGGGACTATAGGAGCACACTACCACACCCAGCTCATAAGTTTGTTTTCATATTGAAAATTTCATCAAACCTATATCCCCTGTCAGCTATGGCAAAACATACTTACAGCTCACTGCTCTGCATAAGCTCGATGAGATCCATAAAAAGCACATCCCGGTTCCTTTCACAAAAGCCATCCATGTCATAGGATACCTGGCCAAGAACGGAAAGAAATCTAATTTCATTGAACAAAATGTAATTTCATCGAACAAAATGTGATTCATCGAACAAAATCGTTTATTGAACAAAAAGTCTAATTTCACCAAACAAAAAACCCAAGTTGCCATGGCTATCCTCACCACAACGTGTGGATTTCCAGATGTTGCATTTGGGATTTCATTGTGCACTGTCACAGGAAGGTTGTGCATGTCTTACTTGTTAGCTGACTTAGCGGGGATGACCTGCAGATGCTGATGAGTATCTGCCTGCCTGGATGGCCCAGGTGATCCATAATCAGAACTCCAGCTCTCAAGGCCCCACACCCCTTTTTCAGTGGATTCATAGGGGTGTCTAAATGACAAACTCAATTCTTTCCTAAATTTTAGCTAAGACAGAGCAAAAGTGAAGCCCCTCATGCTCAGTAATTCATTGCAATGAGCCATGTCATCTGAGGCTTTGCAATTTCTCCCAGAAGCGGTATCAAATTTGCACCAATCTGGCCAGAAACTCATGCTCAGATACTCTGTTTAACAAGAGGTCAGCTGGGATGATGGATGAGACCAGGGGATTTCCATAGGACCAGGAAGTCCCCAAGACCATGACCTCAAATTACTTTTTTATCATCTGCAGCCCCACACAGCCTGGCACCCACTAGGCACCCAATACTCATGGGTTGTATGAGAACAAACACCAAAAGTGAACTCTGGGCCTTGATTTATACTCCCAGTCGGCATGAGGAGACAAGGAATGCCAGTCTGTGATTCCAGCAAGAGGCAAGACGAAAATCTATTTCTTCAGCAGCTAATATATGTAGCAGGGTGATTCATGTTCCAAAAATATGCAGTAGTATGGTGAAATTTAGTGCTGGAGTGACTCCCAGCTGGCCCCTACCCTGCTCAAGCTTCAGTTGACTGTCCCAGTGCGGGTCCTGGCCAGGACTGGCACCAAGGCAGCGGGATCCTTTCAAAATAGGCCTCCAGCGCCATAGACCAGAAAGCAGGAGCCCACTTCTCGGACACTGGGAGATGGTGCAGGCAGCCACCGGTACGCAACGCACAGCGCCCTATCCTTCCCGGCAGGGTCATGGTTCAGAAAACGTAACCCTATTTTCATCTGTAGATAATAGAAGCATTTTTCCTTGGCACTCATACTAAAAATAAAAAACTAGTAATCCCAGGGATCTGGGTTAGCTTCTTCAGCATGTCAACTATTGATGAGAACACTCTTTGTAAAACGAACTCCAGAAATCACTTGCTAGAGAAGCAGCCCTTCACTGCCTTAGTCTGAGCACCCACGGAAAGCACGTGTCGGAGACGCTGGAAAGGCCCGCGCAGCCGCAGTAGAGGGCCAGGAGGCGGGTCATGCGCACCCGCAGTAGAGGGCTGAAGGTCCTGCCAACGGCTCTCTTGGTGTCTCAACGTTCTGGTCAGCAGCTTTTTGCCGTTTCTCTCTCTCCACTTCTTGAGCGAGCAGCCATGAGTTGGACTGTGCCTCTTGTGCGGGCCAGCCAGAGAGTGAGCTCGGTGGGAGCGAATTTCCTGTGCCTGAAGATGGCCCTGTGTCCCCGTCAGGCAGCGCGCATCCCACTCAAGGGCGCCTGGCGCTTCACCTCCGTGAGCAAGATGGCGACTGTGAAGAGTGAGCTTATTGAGCGCTTCACTTCTGAGGAGCCCGTTCATCACAGTAAGGTCTCCATCATAGGAACTGGATCGGTGGGCATGGCCTGCGCTATCAGCATCTTATTAAAAGGCTTGATCGATGAACTTGCCCTTGTGGATGTTGATGAAGGCAAACTGAAGGGTGAGACGATGGATCTTCAACATGGCAGCTCTTTCACGAAAATGCCAAATATTGTTTGTAGCAAAGATTACTTTGTCACCGCAAACTCCAACCTAGTGATTATCACAGCAGGTGCACGCCAAGAAAAGGGAGAAACGCGCCTTAATTTAGTGCAGCGAAATGTGGCCCTCTTCAAGTTAATGATTTCCAATATTGTCCAGCATAGTCCCCACTGCAAACTGATTATTGTTTCCAATCCAGTGGATATCTTAAGTTATGTAGCTTGGAAGCTGAGTGCATTTCCCAAAAACCGTGTTATTGGAAGCGGCTGTAACCTGGATACCGCTCGTTTTCGTTTCTTGATTGGACAAAAGCTTGGTATCCATTCTGAAAGCTGCCATGGATGGATCCTCGGAGAGCACGGAGACTCAAGTGTTCCTGTGTGGAGTGGAGTGAACATAGCTGGTGTCCCTTTGAAGGACCTGAACTCTGATATAGGAACTGATAAAGATCCTGAGCAATGGAAAAATGTCCACGAAGAAGTGATTGCTACTGCCTATGAGATTATTAAAATGAAAGGTTATACTTCTTGGGCCATTGGCCTATCTGTGGCTGATTTAACAGAAAGTATTTTGAAGAATCTTAGGAGAACACATCCAGTTTCCACCATAATTAAGGGCCTCTATGGAATAGATGAAGAAGTATTCCTCAGTATTCCTTGTATCCTGGGAGAGAATGGTATTACCCATCTTATAAAGATAAAGCTGACCCCTGAAGAAGAGGACCGTCTGAAAAAAAGTGCAAAAACACTTTGGGAAATTCAGAAGGAGCTCAAGATTTAAAGTTGTCTAAAACTACCATTCCGAAATTATTGAAGAGATCACAGATACAGGATTATATAACGAAATTTTGAATAAACTTGAATTCCTAAAAGATGGAAACAGGAAAGTAGGTAGAGTGACTTTCCTATTTATTTAGTCCTCCAGCTCTTTTATTTAGCATCCACGTGCTGGATGATACTTATTTACAATTCCTAAGTGTTTTTGGTACCTCTGATGTAACAGCACTTGCCTTGTTATATACATGTTGTTAGCATTTGGTTCCCAAAAAGTAGGATGTAGGTATTTATTGTGTTCTAGAAATTCTGAGTCTTTTCATTAGATATATGCTATTTCTTTCATTCTTGCTGTCTTACACCTATGTTCATTTATACGCTGTAAAGTAGTAGCTTCTTCTACAGTATAAAAATAAAAGTATGTACATACAAAAAAAATATGCAGTAGTATATACAATCTTTTGTTTTGCTTCTTTTGATAGTCAATAAGTTCTATTTGTTGAATGAATAAAATACGGCGAGGCATATGATTTGCTTCATGAGAAACCGGATCACAGACCCAAAAGCTTAAAACAGATAGACATTAAAATGGATATTGGCCATACCTTCCCAGCATAATGATGAATGATGAAGCCTTGGTTCCAACTGTTGAAGTGCTCATGACTCCCAATCTGCATCTGAAGTTTCTGGAGCAGTGTCTGATCTGCCCCCTCACCCACCGCATGCATCGTGGCGCACACATCATCCAGGATGCTCATGATACCAGGAGGGTTCTGATGGGAGCAAGAAGGCAAGGCCCTAGTCACTGACCTCTCCAAAACAGACAATGCTTATCAGGTCCTTTCTTAGGGAAGGAAACAGCTCCCCAGACTTAAGATACCATCTTGAAAGTCAGTCTTCCCCTTCAGGCAAGAATGCAATTAATAGTCCCAAATGGGAAGTCACCACTTAGATCTAAAGAGGGAGGAAACTCCATTTTCCAAAAAGCTGTTTAACTCCCTGAAGTTTTATCCAACAGTCATGCACAGATCATTATCTGCTCACTCATATTCATGCCAAATTGACTTAAGAATCCAAAAGTAAAATAAAAACACTTTCCTTTGACCTAATCTATTTCTTAATGTTCTCTTTCAGCATGTTACCCATATAGGCATCATTTATATAGTTATTTAGTGTACACACTCTATAATGCATTTCCTTTTTCACACAGCACTATTTTATAAGCATTCCTCGTGTTTTACATATTCTTCATACTTCCTATTTTAATGGCTATATTTCTCATTTGTTTAATAACTAAGTTGTCTGGCTGGGCATGGTGGCTCATGCATGTAATCCCAGCACTTTGGGAGGCCGAGGTGGGTGGATCATGAGGTCTGGAGTTCGAGACCAGCCTGGCCAACTGGCCAACATGGTGAAACCCCTGGGCAACAGAGTGAGATGCCTCTCAAAATAAATAAATAAATAAATAAGTTGTCTACGGATGTTTTCACTGTTTCCAGTGTTTGGCTTTTATATATATATATATATATATATATATAAAATCCTATAGAGATATTTGTTCTATATCACTTTTCTTTTATTTTGAATCATCTTTTTTTCTTTTGAGACAGGGTCTTGTCTTGCTCTGTCACCCAGGCTGGAGTGCAGTGGCACAATCTCAGCTCACCACAGCCTCAACCTCCCAGGCTCAAGCGATCCTCCCACCTCAGCCTCCAGAGTAGCTAGGACCACAGGTGCGTGCCACCATGCCTGGCTAATTTTTGTATTTAGCTAATACAATTTTTGTATTAGCTAAATTTTGTGTTTGGAAACAGGGTTTCACCATGTTGCTGGGGCTGGTCTTGAACCCCTGTGCTCAAGCGATCCACTTGCCTCGGCCTCCCAAAGTACTGGGATTACAGGCATGAGCCACCATGCCCAGCCTGAATCAGTCATTAAGGCTAAAGTCCTAGAAGTTGGACTAGAACACAGGGCCAGTTTTATGGCTCTTCACATGCTAAGTCATCGTGTGACAGCTGTCTTCTCTTAGAATCAGTAACAACTTCCATTTGTAAATTGACATTTTACTCATATCCACATGTTCATATTTACTGCCAGAATAAAGCCCTACTGTTTTCTTTTCACACATACAGAAAACTAATACAATTGCTCAAATTCTCTGCAAATCAGAGTTGTCACTTTGCCTGTTCTAAAACAACGACACAGAACAAAAACTCACTTAATGTAAACCTGTGAGCAGTGAAGACATACTAAACCAACACTTACCACTTTGTTCTCTATGAGGTCACATACAATTTTATTATTAAAGTACTCAATGGGTGTCCATCTTATTCCCTCTTGAACATATTCTTCCTGTAAGACAGAAACCAGGAACTCACATTATTTCCCAAATAGCAAGAGCTCTGCACGGACAGACCCTGAATGGACAAAAATTCCCATGAAAGAGAAAAACCTAAATGTCCTTCAACGAATACCAGGAACTTTAATTTCTTATTTTCTAAGAGGTAACAGGAAAGGAACACTTTATGACTTGGTGATTTTTATGTTTAGTTTGAACCCTATGAAATTGTTGCCACACAATTGTTTCTGGCCAACGAAAACTGCAATTTAGTAGCACCGAACTCATAAATCCAGTTACAAAAAAAAATCACAAAACTTAAAATTTAACATAGGGCTGGGCGCAGTGGCTCACATCTGTAATCCCAGCACTTTGGGAGGCCGAGGTGGGCGGATCACAAGGTCAGGAGTTCGAGACCATCCTGACCAACATGGTGAAACCGTCTCTACTAAAATTACAAAAAGTAGCTGGGTGTGGTGGGGTGCGCCTATAATCCCAGCTATTTGGGAGGCTGAGGCAGGAGAACTGCTTGAACCCAGGAGGTGGAGGTTGAAGTGAGCCGAGATCGCGCCACGGCACTCCAGCCTGGGCGACAAAGCGAAACTCCATCTCAAAAATAAATAAATAAATAAAAATTAAAATTAAATATAGGACAGGAGTAGATTAGCATCCAGGTACTTAATGGGAAGGTTCTTCAGTCTATCAGAGGCTCATTTAACTTGAAAACCACGACACTATCCTGGTTTTTTCTTCTTTCCTCACTGGTTTCACTTTGCCGGCTTCCTTTGCTAGCTCTTTCTTATTTCCAGAACTTTATATTTGGTGGAGTCTCAGGGGTCAATCTTTCAGCCTTCTTGTTTTCTCAGCCCTTCTTCTCTAGGTGATTTCTATCAATCCCATGGCTTTAAATACATCACCTACAGGCTAATGACCCCTGAATTGATTTCTCATCTATATCTCGCCACGGGGTTCCAGACTCAAATCCATTCTACAGACTGGAATCTTCGCTTGGATGTATAATAAATGGGCCTCTCCAACTTAACCTATTTAGAGGAATTCTGATTCCATATTTCCCATGACCTCCAAACAACCCCTCTTCTCATCTCACCCTCCAGTAAATAGTGTCACCATCAGCCCTGTTATCCAGGGTATAAAGCTAAGAATCACCCATGATTGCTCCTTCTTTCTTGGCTATTGTTAATTATTTTGAGCAAGTCCCATTCTCTCACTCTCCAGATACTCCCTCTCACCACCTGGACTGCTACCATTGCCGTCTGAGTCTCTGCCACATCTAACGTAGTCTCCTGCAGTATGCCCATCACTGGTTTTTTACCTTCCATTCTAGTTTGCTTTCCCCTGCCTCACCCCACTCTATAAGCCTACAGAGCCAGAGTGACCCTTTCAAAAACACAAACAACAAATCAGATCATGTCACTCCTCCCTCAAAATTCTTCAATGGGTCCTCATTCCACTTACTATAACACCCAAAGTCTCAGCCATGCCCTACAATTTCCCATATGATCTAGCCCCTGCCTCCCCGCTCCCATCTCATTGGCTATTGCGCTCTTTCTTGGTGGTTTTGCTCTGGCTACTCTAAGGGTTGGGGAAGGCTAGAGGTTCACGGGAAACCCACATGGAGACGACCAAACCAGTTTGGAGACTACTGCAGGAGACTGGGCTAGACGTGGTAGGGACTTAGATGGCAACAGTAGCAATGGGTTTCATGTGAACCTCTAGCCTTCCCCACCCCTTAGAGTAGCTACAGTAAAACAACCAAGGGTGGGTTCCAGGGCAGAAGGTCACGTGAAACCTGCTGGTATGGTGTTTCCTAAGCACAGGCAAAAACACTTCCATAACTAAATGACCCCAAAACAGCCTTTGATGTATACAGTGGCTTGAATAGTATCCCCCCAAATTTCACATCCACCTGGAACCTTAGAATGTGAGGTTTGGAAGTAAGGTCTTTGTAAATGAAATTCACTAAGGACCCCACAGTAAGTCATCCTGGGTTTAGCGTGAACTCGAAATCCAAAAAAAATGTTGTCTTTCTTTTCTTTTTCTTTTTCTTTTTTTTTTTTTTAAACAGTTCACTCTCCATAGAGACTGTCAAAAATCGTCAATGCCGACTATATTTCAAGTCGTCATGGCAGGGTATTGTGAAAAGTTTTCAATTAGCAATAATCATGCCTCAGATAAATCTCACTGGCTAAAATATTGCCATTGCACAAAGCTAAAATGGTATCTTCATAAAAGAAAAGAGACGGAGATTTGGATAGAGACACAGGGGGACATTGGAAAAGGCTACGTGAAGACACAGGCAGAGATTGGAGTCAAACTGCCAGAAGCCAAGAAATGTCAGGAGCTACCAGAAACTAGAAGAGGAAGGATTCTCCCCTCTATCCTGAGAAGGAGTATGGCCCTGAGGACTTCCTGATTTCAGATTCTGGGCTCCAGAACTGGGAGGGAAGAAACTGCTACTGTTTCAAGTCACTCAGTTTGTGCTGCTTTGTTATGGTGGCCCCAGGAATCCTAAACAATATGCTATCAGGAAACGATGGAAACTGCACCGAACTATTTATTTATTTATTTTTATTATTATTATTTTGAGACGAAGTCTCGCTCTGTTGCCCAGGCTGGAGTGCAGTGGCGCGATCTCAGCTTACTGCAAGCTCCGCCTCCCGGGTTCAAGCGATTCTCCTGCCTCAGCCTCCGGAGTAGCTGGGTCTACAGGCACGCACCACCATGCCTAGCTAATTTTTGTATTTTTAGTAGAGATGGGGTTTCATCATGTTGGCCAGGCTCGTCTCGAATTCCTGACCTCGAATAGTCTGCAGGTCTCGGCCTCCCAAAGTGCTGGGATTACAGGCGTGAGCCACTGCACCTGGCTACTATTTATTTTTGAAACAGAGTCTTGCTCTGTTGCCTAGGATGGAGTGCAGTGGTGTGATGATGTAAGTCTCGACCTCCTGGGCTCAAGCAATCCTTTCACTTCAGCCTCCAGAACAGCTGGGACGATAGGCTTATGCCACCACGTCCAGCTAATTGTTTTATTTTTTGTATGGATGGGGTCTCATTTTGTCCGGCAGGCTGGTCTTGAACTCCTGGACTCAAGCAATTCTCCCGACTTGGTCTCCCAGAGTGCTAGGGATTACAGGCATGAGCCACAGCACCCGACCTGCACCGAACTTTAGAAGAAACTACAGCAAGGCATGTTACCTCAGGTAAGTATTGAAATACCAGCTTTGTTAAAAATGCATGTATTGTTAGGGAAGATTGAGAATGGAGTAAATCTGAGAAAACCAAGTCTTTTATTTGGAACACAATATATGCCTCAGACAGTTGGGGCTGGAACTAGGCTCCCATTTCCCACGTGCTCAGTGAGTCAGTATAGTAAAAGCAGCCAGTCTTATGTCCAACGTCACAGCATCATTTGCTTAAAGAAGAAGGCAAATGCTGCAGATGGTATTTATATTTCATGGATTAAAATACCACAATGGCGTATGGTTTTTCTGCCTGACTTTATTAGGTGCGTTTCCTAATATAAGAGTGGAACCCAAATCTATTATCAAAAGACAGAAATCGATACCCTTGTAAACAAAGTAAGTTATAAATAGAATAGGATGAAGGACGAGGGACTGCTTACCTGTTCCGCCTTTAATGTCAGTTCAATAAAAATCTGCTGCAGTTTTTCATTAACAAAATTGATACAAAACTGTTCAAACCCATTTTTCTGAAAAAAAAAAGTTATTCACATGTAATTGTTTCACAAAA